AGTTGAACATACAACTAATGTAATATAAAATACATGGATGAATTAAAATAGTACTATTCCACGAAGCATTTTTAGAAAGAAGTGCTGATTATATTCCCATTTTTTTCATAGTATACAACATGGCTCAATTGGCTGGACTATTTCGTTGACATTTCGCTGCTGTCAGAATACATGACTCTTTGAGTCCCCTCTGAAGGCGTTACTGGGTGATAGCAGCATGAAAGTAGTTTTATTCATTAACACTCAGAAGGACTTGGAGACTCCAGGGATCAATAAGCGTCCTTTGCTTGAAGATGATAAAAGAAATCGCAGAGACTGAACACCGTAAACACCGTTTCACAACATATTCCTTATTTGAGGGTCATCTTCAATGCTTCCTAAGGCCACTCCATCATTCTTGGCAAATAAAGAGGCAGAATCAGATACTAAAACTTAACGCAGCATCGGATAGAATCCTGCAAGCGACTTTGGCACTGACAGTCTGTAAATGAGGTTGAATTACCGGAGAACCACATCCTCTTTATGAAACATCGCATTAGAAAAGAAATGCATTCTAAGTGATGCGGCATTCCGTTCCTTCTGGACAAAGAAGCAAGATGATATTTTTGTCAAAATGCACATTAATGGCTAAAACTGACCTGGGTTTAAATAGACAATATCTCTTTGTAAACGTGTCAAGTTGCTAAATTACTTTCATGTGGCCCTTCCAAAACCACTCAAATTATGCTGGAGTTCTTAAAAACAAGTATGATAAGATTATCATTAATGAATAGGCAAATTATCCCTTTCTTTGGTCCACCCGTCCAACCATCTATCCATCTCTCTACTCACCACATTCGATCCACCACGAAACTGCTTTAAAGCTACCTAAGGTAAGAAGCACTTGGTAAATGAATGATAAATATACATGGGCCAAATGTAGGTGGATTTCGCTAAAGCGCTTTACAGCTTATCAAAATCAAGTATATCTAAGAACTATGAAAGTCGAGGGTAGATGAGTCGAATTTGACACATTATTGGCCAACTCTTCATGGTATTCAAGTGGTTTACATCACTAAGTAACTTCATCAGGTTTAATTTTTTATCTGTAAATTAGACAAGCGACATTGAATTGTCACTGTTACTATCCGACTGGCGTCCTTTGAAAAAATGGCCATTGCGCGGTGGGTGATTCAGGCAAAAATTACTGACTTTTCCATATTTATATTTGCAACTGATATGACAAAGGGAAAGCCTACGTTCTTTTTTATTAAAAGATGGCAGCATGGTCTGATGCAGCATGATTAAAAGAAGCCTAATGTCACCTAGAAACAAGAATGAGGCTCTGGTCTCTTGTATATGGACTGTTTTTTATTCTGTCATCCCAGAATAACTCTGTTGCAGTAGGATGCCACCTCACAAGGCTCTAACAACTGCTCTACATTAAGACTGCATAGGTCAGTGAAACCGGATAACCGGTTAAGAAATATTAAGCTTAAATTTTGCTACTCCGGCGTACTGACTATGCATTGGTAGTGGCGTGTTTATGTGGGTAAAATTGCCCGCAGAGGCAATGGTGTCAAGTTTACTCATTGAACTGCAGCAATGGATTATTAACGAAGGAGCGCTTTTGTTCTGGCTTTGGTGAGAGAAAGTTAAATTCCATTTTACGAGATGAAGGGTAAATGAAATATCAAATAGTTCCTGACAATTATACTGGAACACTTTAATGTTGTAAAGACCATATTGTCCAGATTCATGACAGGTATAAGGAATGGTTTAATAATTCAGCGGTTGAGAATGGGGATTTACGTTGTAAACTTCTTCAATAATTAATGCCATCTGCCTGTCCATCCATGTATCGATCTTTCCACCCATCACCTTCAATTTTTTGCAATCTTCCGAAGAGGAATGAATGATAACGATAAATAGGCCATATATAGATGAATTCTACTAAAGCACTTTTAAGTTGATGATACATTGGTCTTTTAAAGGAGTGTAAAAGTACATAGACAAATAGGGCTTAGTACATAAGTTTAAGCAATCACAAGTGTAGCTAGGTTGTAAAAATTGAGCTATGAGCTCAATGAAACGTTGGGGCTACCCACCATAAATCTTGATAATCACAAAAAAAATTTGTCCAAAGCGCATTTATTTTGACAAAATCACGGTGGTGCAAAATAAGTAAGGCCCAAATTAGATCTTCTCACTTAGATGCAAATCCAAACCAACTGAAGTCATTGAGTGTCTTATTTGTCCAAGGACAACTGTGCTCCCTCTCCTTCAGTCCCTACAATTTAATAGCAGATGATCGAAAATTTCCATGATTGCATTGCCCATCACCTTTGGCCTATCCCTCCGAACTTGAGTACCTAAACCACTAGGTTTTAAGCGAGGCCCTACAAAGAGGACTAATCTCTTCCAGTTTTCGGGACTGCCTTTTTGAAAGGGTATCACATCCGCATCTAGTCGTGGGATGGTAAAGAATTCGACCCAGCAAGCTGATGTTAAACGCCTAATCGATGAATGATCATGCTGATGCAAGACACTCCAGATAAGATCTGTGTCTAGTCAGCCATCAAAATTTGATGACCAATGCACAGGCCATAGAACCAGTCATTAAGGTAGTCAGTAAACTTACAAGCATCTGTCTCCATTTTTAAGTTATACTTTTACGAAATTGGTTAAAAAGCCTTATGACAACTTCTCACCTTTTTTCCTTGATGTTCAAACGTCATAAAATTGATGTGGTTCACTCGCCTTTTTTGAGGTAACCTCAAAACTGAATTCCACATAATTTTGTGTGATGAATTACATCAACCAGGAACTGCCTGAAATTTACACTTTTGGGCACCACTGAATGACTGATTCACCTTACCTGATGCAGTCTCACTTGGACTCTCTCATTACAGCCTGAACGTGATTGAAGAAGAGCATAATCTGTGAGTGGGGAATCTGTGACTACGACCTAACAGAAAGGGTTGAAAATAATGCCTACCATTTGCAACTACCCCACTCCCGTCTTCTGCGTGAATTGCATTAAAAACGGAAGCAGCATTAAGCTTAAACCATCTGGAAAAGTTCTTTACGAAGTTGTTTACCTTTCCTGTATGAACATACCGTTTATGCGAACTTGCGATACCTCTTTCTCCTCCTCCACCTCTCGATTAGCTGAATAGAACCCAAATATGTATGGCTAGACAACACTGAAGGATGTAAAGTATCAAGAAGGAGTATATGCAAAGTTTTATACTCATAGAACTACGTTAAACCCTTTTTTTGTTATCTAGCTCTGCTTTTAACCCAATGTTCCTTCAACTAGCGATGAGTACCCGTAATGGCCAAGATATTCTTCGTCCCCTAATTCAGCCCCCAAACAGGACAAAACTCCACAAATGGCGGAAATTTTTGAGAGGGATTAGTGACGATGCCAGCAAGGATCTTCTCCGTTGCATGCAACTTCGATGAATAGTGCGGTTGGCTACTAACGGGTGCCTGTCTCACATCATCCACTACATTGTGATGGCCTGAGCGATGGGATGAATGGTGAGAGGGTCGGGAACGATGCTCAAAGAGGGTAGGTCTATGTAATACGTTGTTTGTTTAAATCTGATTTTTGGTAATGGGGCCACCTAAGGGTCTCCGCCGTTGTATCTTTACCTGGAGGCATGGCCTCCGGGCCATGCCAGTAGACTTAAGCCCTATTGCGCTCTACAATACCTATTCTGCTTGAGTACTATGTTCCCTTTCATCTTCAAGGGAGTCTCAAGGGGCCACATTAAATTTTATTTTGTCAACCATTTAACTAAATAAATCGGTAGAATTAGCCTATGATGTTTGAATAGTAAGTCCGGGCCATAAAACAACAGGATAAATGTGACATCGGTTACAATCAGTATCCTAAAAAAAAAAACTGAGCATAACGGTGTCATTTAGCAAAAAAGGGTTGTGAAGTTTTTCGGGTTTTTTCTAGGGTGTTTGGAATAAGTATCTCAGATAAAATTAAATTAAAGAAATCCATCGGTTTTGGAAAGAATCAGTTTGCAGAGATCATTGTTGTCTACTTTTTCTTCACCTTTTTTGGATTGTGGAAGGGCGAAGCGCTGAGGTCAATTAACCCACGTTTTGTAATGCATTTTTGTTATAACAAACAGAAGATGGATACTTATAGCGCCCCGAGACTTCCCTAAAGGTGAAATAGGGCACAACACAGGCAGAATATGCATATTTTCCTACAGAAGGGATTGGGGGCTCACTTAGGAAACAAGCCGTATTTTCTTCTATGCTTCAGAAGGCTAAAGTAGTGAAAAAACAACTTAAAAAAATGTCTAGCATGAAGATATCTGTAGTGATAGAAGCGTGCAAAAATCCCACTGAAATTGAAGTGGTCAAGAGGGTGGAGGGGATGCCGAAGGTCCAGGGTGGGTGGGGGAAGAGGGAGGGAACCCAAACTAGCCACCCAGTTTGAGTACCTCCGGTGGACAGGGTGCGTGAGAGCTTTTTAAAGCAAATGCTGCGCAAAAAATGTGCGGAAAAAGTGGTGGAAAAATAGTGTTTTGGCAGTTGATTTTCCTCCTAGGTTGATGAGGGAGCCGCAACACCCTCTATTCCAGTGAAGGCTTTGGAGACAAGCCTATTTCTGTATCATACTTAAGAAAAGCGGTCTTTTAAGATGAGTTTGGTTTGCTTTCAAGGGAAAAAACCCAAAGGGAGCGATAACCTTCTTTTATGCCTTTAAGCAAAAGAAAGAGAGAGGATAAAAAAAGCGTAAATTTAAAAAGTTGATTGATTGTTTAACCTATTGTTTTAATTTTCGCGGGCACTTAGGGCTGGCCTGGCCTCCGGTTTATGTCGGTAGCCCTAATCTCTTCTGTATGTCGACAATGCATATTTCACCCAAGCATTACGTTTTTCTTCATCTTTAGAAAAGTCTCGGGGAGCTAAATGAATACTTGGCATCAAACTGATCATTGCTAACTTTATAAGACTTGCTAAGAGTGTTAGGGGAATGGTTCGATTCGAGTCGAGTGTTCGACTTTCTCGGAGGAACTACTCGATATTTCCTGACCAAATGTAAGGCCTGATGAAGTGGTTAAGCAAACAATTTGGTAATAAATGTATACTAAAATTGAAGTTACCTGAAGTATAAGTGACGTGTTGTGGGATAAAATAATATCACATTTTTGAAATAATATTTTTGGTCTCTTTCCCCCCTAGTCTGTGAGTAGGACTCATGACGACTCTCCTAAAACGTACTTCCTTTTTGGAAAAAATAAATAATTGTATAACCTTTGTTAAATCTAATTCTCATTTTGACCTCCAATTATCGACTGAAAAAGCAGCCACACGGATCCCCAGACCATTTGAGTCATCTAACGACCCAGTTTTGAATGGACATTGGGAAGCAATGGCAATTAATTTTGTCAACTCTCAAGTAACTGGGTGACACATTTGATGTAAAGGCAACGTATTTTTCTTTACCGAAAACGCTTCAAAATAAGATAAAAATTTTGGAGAGCATGAACTGCTTCAAACGCTTCTCTCAAATTAACCATGATGGCTCCATTGGCTAAAAATCCATTGTTTTAAAACCCCAGAAACAATACTGATTGTAACAGAAAGGTTTAAACTCTAGTATGCAGACATCTTTTTGTTTCATAACCTTTTTATAAGTCCCTCAGTATAGTTGGAAGCTATTCTCCCAAAAGAAGGAGACTACAGTTGTAACGAGGTGCTTCAATCAATTGAAAACAGATAAAAAGACTGATTTAGAGTTTGCTTTGCAAAGTCAAACACAAAAATCAAATCCATTTTATTTTAATCTTTTTTGTTAAGATGCTCTGATGATTTCTTGGGTTTTTATTACGCATGTCAAATAGTCAAGGAGGCCTCGTGGAGTCCACGTGATCACTTTACAGTTGAAGTCTGCGATGAAGGTGGTAATGTGGGAAGGCATATTTTATAATTACCATTGCTAACAGAGAGTGGAGTAAAGAGGCTGGTCAATGAAACGTCTGTCTACTTCTGCGTCTAGTCACGCTCTGATGAACACCACCATTCAAGTCAGGAAGAGAAATGGGGTCTACAGTGTGGACTAGTGATGCTGATTTCCGGTAAGCAAACGTTTGTTACACCTTTTTCCCTCTATATTACAAGCAAATTTTAGTCTCCCTTTTCGTCCTGTTGCATATGCTTCTCTAGCTTGGACTGAGTCACTTCTGGCATTAAAGTAATGTCAACTTACAAGATAGCATCAAGCTAAACTCATCTGAATCGCACCACCACCAACTGACATCATCCTTTTCTTATAAAAGCTACACAAAATGCTATAGCTAATGCTCTTTACTAACTTTGAAGGCAATACAGTGTCTAATTGCTTCAAAATATTAGTGCGAATTGTGATTAAAAGGATCCTATGCAAAGAGTCAAATTATCCCAAGATAAAAGGGTAAAAAGGTCGGAAGCAAAGTGGACCCCACACAGAGAAGCGACTGCTCGACAATGGGCATGAACTTTTATTTTCCCCTAAATGATCGTTAAACAGTTTGCCACAGACAGAGCCAAAATACCCTCTTATCCATACTTCACAGTGGTGACATTTAGTTTATTAATTTCTTGCTTGAATGGTTTTTTCCAATGTGTTAATGAGAAAAACAACTAGAAATATTTTTAAACGCAAGCTATTAGTAAAGCTAATTTATACGGTTTTGTTCACATCCGCAGTTACTCACTGAGCATAGGCACTCGGTAATATCGCAACATTCGAGGTCTAATGACAAAGTTATATTGAACTTGCATGACTGTGTCTGGATCGGCTAAGCCGATGACGAAACATCACAGCTGTCAAAGCTTTCATACTTATTGTACAGGGCAACAATTCGACAGCAG